GAGCAGGGAGCCCAATGCGGGACTCGATCCAGGGACTCCAGGATCATGACCTGAGCCGAAGGCAGTCGCTTTAACCAACTGAGCCACCCAGGCGCCCTAAATTATTATTTTAAAAATATCCTATTTCCTTTCTTCCATTGGCTTCTTAGTTGTATGTTTTTGTTTTCTTTGGGGGGCTTACAATATACACTTACCATCGTCTATTTTCACATGCTCATGACCCTCACGCACAGCCAATTTCCACGTGCGCGCCATTTTCGTCTTTGTTCCGGGATAATGTTTCCTTTTTCTCTGGCTGCTTGTAAGATTGTCTCTTTAGAAGTGGCTCTCAGAGTTTTGTTTTTTTTTTAATAATGTGCCTTGCTGTATTTTTCTTATCATTGTTTTTCTTGTGGCTTATTGAGTTTCTTGGATGTCTGGGTATAGATTTGGAAACATTCTGGCCATTATTTTGTCAAGTCATTTTTTTTTTGCCCTGACTTACGTTTTCTGGGACTCAGTCACATGTGATAGAACACTGAGTATCTCTTTCGGTCAGTTCTCCTGGCTTGTGCCCCGCTGGGAACGCACACCCCTGTTTCCTCGTGCGTGTCTGGTCTCTGGACCCTGGTCCAGGGCATGACACATGGGCTGGATGTCAGCCGCCTCTTCTCCCAGCCAGCTCACTGGGGGCTTAACGTCACTGCACAGAGTGGGGCTGAAAGGGAGGTTGAGATGAAGCACGGGTCAACATCGCAAGAGCACCGCAGGCTGAGGTGCTCACACTGGATTCCCCCTTGACAGAGCAGGTCCAGGATGTAGCCCCCGGGCTGGTGCCTTTCCCTGGGTGTCAGGATGGTGAGGCTGGATCCTCCCTCACTGAAGGGGGATGTGTCCTCATTTTAATAAGCTTATTCCGGAAATGGGTTTGTCTTCTCTGCCCTCAGCAATTCTGCCAGCACCATCTGCAGACTTAATGAGGGGCTTCCTTCCCCACTGTCCATCGTGTATGGCACTGCGAAGGGGTGTGCTTTACCAAGGACGCCTGCACTTGATTCCGCTGCTCTGACCAAGCTCCCCCGGCCCAGAAGCACCTGGCCTTGCTGGACGGAGGAAGGACCCGGTGATGCTGCGGCCCGGGGACGGCACCTGTAACGTGGGGCATGTCCCAAGGGGTGGTGCCCAGGACGGGCAGGCTGTGCTTCGGGCTGTGGACCAATACGTGGGAGGTTTCATGCACAGCACACGTCTGTGACATGGGAAGGGATGGCTCTTCTGACACCCAGTAGTTACCGGGGGCGGCTGGTGCTTTGTCTTGAAAATGTTCCTCGGCTTTCTGTTCCTCCCTCCTCCGCAGGACAGATCTCTGTTGAGTTCAGCTGCCGGGTGGTTCAGTCTCCCAGTGAACCGGGAGGGAGCAGGGCTGATGGTTTTATTTCCGTGGAGATCCAGCACCTCGCACGCGGTGGTCACTGCCCCCTCCCTGTGCCGCTCGCCCGGCAGAGTCCCAGGAGAAGACTGTGCTCTCGGAGCGGCGAGTGGCCCGCCCTCGAAGAGGTGAGGAGCAGGTCTGCCTGCTGCCCCCGCACCTGAGCAGCTCGCCCTCCTTACCAGACCCGGTCTTGGCAGCTTGGGGCTCCTTCGCTTTAAGATCATGGTTCCTATGTGGGGACGCGACTGACCCCTTGCTCTGAAGCTCAGATGGTCAGCAGCTACTGGGGGCCGCTCCTGCTGCTGGCCCACGAGGACGTGGAGAGTGTTAGGAAGCTGACAAATGCAGGGAACGGTGCTGTTCTCTCTCTGGAGCCCGGTGGTCCTCTGGGCACTTTCACCACTAAGGTTGTGGCTAATATAGGCTCCACATTTGTTGGAATGAGAATCCTCCACTAGGTACAGAACCTTCACTTTCCAAGGGGCTGGCTGCAGCCAAGGACACATGCAGTGGGGGTGGGGAAGGAAGTTGTAAGTATGGGTCCCAACCCCATAAGCAGGTACAGGGCCAGGCTGGTGACAGCCACGGGGACGATTTCCTGGCCTGCTATGTGTGTGCATGTGGTGTGCACACACGAGAGAGCACACACATCAGGTTGTCGACTGTTCACCCATCATCCCCACCACTTGCCTCCCCTGTATTTTGTGTAGGAATTTTAACGGTGTGAATGGTAAACCCTGTAACTCACTTCCCATGTTGGGAAACATTCAGAGGGGTGTGACTGGCAGCATTAACGCTGCCCAGGGATGGACGTGAAGATCGCGGGGTGGTACATTTTTGGGGAGAAGCTAAAAGCACCTGGAGGAGGGGGCGTTCCATCGCGTTAGGAGGAAGCATCCGCTGGATGTGAGTCCCGCGTGGTCAGGGGGGCGGGAACCCCCAGAGAGGATGGCCGGTGCCAAGGGCTGGGGTCTGACTTGCTTCTACCGGTGGCTCCTGGGGCCCCGGTTGGACTAGCACAAGCGGGGAGGGCAGCAGGGCCCTGGTGGGGATGGCAGGGATGCCTGTTCTGCTTCGGTCTCTGATGGAATCTCCAGGAGCTTCCTCGTCCCGCGTGCACACGTCCCCTTCAAGCCTGTTCCCACCTGGGACGTGGGCGAGCCCAGCACGCACAGAAGTCGCCGGGGTCAGGCCACTTGCCCTCAGGACAGCCCGCTTCTCCACGTGCTACTGAGCAGAACCAGAAATAGTATTTGGTCCTTGGAGCAAGCGGCTACCTAACCGTTATTTCCTTTAGTTTTGGGGACTGTAATACTTTGACGCCATTTTTTCTAATTCTAGGCCTTTTACTGCCTTGATGAGAGAAATGAATGCAAGATCCTGTCTTGTTTTGGCTTCACGAAGTGTGTTTAAGGTGTATGTGTTCGACAGAGAAATTCTAGAATCAACCCAGCATGCAGGCAAACGGCCATACAATCTGAGTGTCTTAAAATGTCGGCCACCGCCCCACGATGCCGAACTGCTCCAGACCTTCCCTCTGAGATCAAGGAAGGTTTTTCTACAGAATTTCAATTACTGTGTTTTCCAAACATGCTGGGCGAGTTGCTGAAAAACCCCATCTTGATTGGTTCTCTGTCACGGCCTAAGAGACGTCTGCTGTTGTCTTTCTTTCTTTTCTTTCTGATTTTATTTATTTTATCTTTTTAAGCAGGCTCCACACCCAGCACGGAGCCCAGCGTGGGGCTTGAGCTCACGACCCTGAGATTGAGACCTGAGCTGAGATCAAGTCAAGGAGCTTACCGGACCGAGCCCCCCAGTGCCCCTGCTGTTCTCTTTCTAATAAAAAGCCACACATAACGAAATACATCCTCAGGTGAGTAAGACTATGTTTTATTCATTCCACTGAAAATCCAAAGCTGTTTCACGGCACCCACCCCGGACCCCGAGTCCTCGTGGGGCCCCTTCCGTCCCCACCTCACACAAAAGGGATTTCCCTCCCAAACTATATACATTCACAGTTGGGAATACCACCGACACTAGGTCGCTGTGCAGAAGAGGATCAGGAGGAGTAAACATCCATTCCAAGTCTGTTTATCAGGGGTTTTCCTGAAAATGCCCAGCGGCACTTCATTCAAAAAGCCCTTCATCCACAGACGCCGAGGCCGGGAGCCGCGAGCCGGACCCTCCCCACAGAATATCTTAGTTTATTTACCTCCTTCATTGGTCACTTGTATGTTTTCTCTCCTAATGAATTTCTATGCATTCTGCAGCTAGAAGCTGATCACCGTGCGCTCCCAAAGCCGCGTCCGGGCTGCGTGGCTGCTGGAAGCGCACACCGGGCACGCCTCGGGATGTCTGTAAACATTTTTTCTGGCGGCCCTGGCGGTCGCTTTCTATGGAGATGCCCAAATACAAAATCCAATTCATTTAGAAATTCAGAAGAATTTTCTTCCCCAAGCAAACCAGAGGCTTTGCTTCAGACCCAACTAGAGGCTGTGGTCCTTGTGCTTGAAGAGCGGACCTCTAATTGTGTCGGAAGGATGCGGTGCCTCGGGCCGAGCTCCGGGCCCGGGGGGGGGCGACACCAGGGCATCCCCTCCTGTGTGTGGAGGCTCTGCCCCTCACCTGACTCGGGCGGCGGCCCCAACGCCTTCCCTGAGGCCCGGCGGGTGCAGGCCTCGAGCTCGGTGGCGCGGGGAGGCGGCGGGCAGGCCCGGTGGGCAGCGGCAGAGCGTGAGGCGCCAGCCTCCCGCCAGGACCTGCCCGTCGCCCGGACGCCGGTCTCCGGGAGGCTCAGCACACCAGCCAGGGCCACCCGCCACCCGCCACGACCTCCTGCTAACTCACCCACCTCCCCGCCGCGCAACGCTTCGGCTGGATTTGCGTGGCTCTGAAGTACATTACCTTACGTTAAACAGAAATACCAAGCTGGTAAAGTTTATAAAAAAGACGGGGATTTGAAAAGGATTAAAGAAGCAGAGAAGGCGTCTGGGCCGGGTGCGTGTGGTGGACCAGACGGAGGAATGTACCTGGTAGAGAGAGGCCAGAAAGAGATTGAAGTCAAAGCCCCACACAGCCTCGGATTCTATCAAAAAAGGGCCTATAAATAGATTTCCTCTGACCCTCAAAGGAAAAATGAAGTAGAAAACAATTTTTCTTTTTTTTAAAAAAATGTTGAATGCTTCCTGAAGTATCTAAATGAAGTTTATAAAATACTCATGAGTTCCCACAAATATAGAAATGTTTAAAAGACGGGGCTCTGCCACGCTGTGACCCCCACACAGGCTGGCAGAGAATTTGTGCTGGAATCGAAACGCACGTGACACGTCTTGGTCTCCCGCATGTCGCGTGTGCATGTGGAGTCCCGTCCACGTGCGCAAGCCACCGAGCACGGACTCCCAACGGGGACGCCAAGAAAGACTGCAGGAAGTGAGCCAGGACAGTCCCCCCGGGGGCCCACACAGCCCCGCGGCCGGCGAAGCCCCGCCCTCATGCGGGCTCTCCACAAAGGAACAGGGTCAGAAGGACCCGGGTGTCGCAGAACCCGGCCCGAGGCCGGTACATGCACAGAACACGCGGGAGAGCGAGGCCAAGCCGCGTCACCGCCAACAGGCTCACGGCCAGGTGGAGGCGGGTGGTGACAGGGCGCAGAGAGGCCTCATCTCTCCAGAACCTTCTGTCCTAGTCCAGTTTCTTACGGAAAGGTTTCCTTCCAGTGTCCGAGTTTTCAGGGCTGAAGTCCGCACAGAAGCCGTTGGGGGTTGGGGCGAGGGGTGTCTGTGCACTGCTGTCCGAATGGGTCTCTTTGGGGTACAGGTACTCCTCTGCGAAGTTGGGGAACATTTCTGCGAACCTGCAGAAGTCAGCTGGAAAGACAGAGGCACCTGGGTTGGCAGGGGGCAGACGTCTGGAATCGGGGGCTCCTGTCCCTGGGCCTGCAGGGGCCACCGTGACCTCACAGCCTTCAGGTAGGGCTGGAATCCATG